CAATAGGTGTGAAATTAGCCATCCACTGAGTCACTTCAGACTAGTTTTTGTCAAAATAGACATTAATGTAACTGGTGTCTTTTCTTTGCTGAGGGATCAATGCTTCCCTGTAAGCTGCACATCCACTTTAATGCAAGTAATAAAATGTTTTACAAGCCAGAGCTCTCTCTCTTTAGTACTTCAAACCCCAGTTTATGCAAAATAGTATTCAGCACACTTTCCAGGAATTAACCAGAGTTTTAAAACCTTTGTTTAACAATAGCCAAAAGTGAACAACACAAATTCCCAGCTAAATTAAAACTGCAACCCTGTGGTCCTTCAGTTTGAGGCATGCATATATAAATACATCATTAAATGCAATGCTTATAGAAATACATAAAGTGTAGAGAATGAAGCTGAATGTTTCTGTTTCAGGTCCTCCATCTTAATCCAGCGTAAACTGATTGTGTCCCTTCAGTCTTGCTTTCTTGATCGTTCAGAGTGTAAATGAGAAACTGATTCTCGACAAACCTTAATTAGAACACTGCGGACTGTGCGGCTTGTTTGTTTGCCCATGTGGCCTTTTCTTTTTTGTCATTTTTTTTACTGTTTTGGCAATGTCAAATGTTTGAGGAGGCGTCGTCGTCGTCTTTGTCTTCAGCTTCCTCAGCTTATCCAGGTTTGGGTCGCGGGGGCAGCATCCCAGCTAGGGAGCTCCAGACCGTCCTCTCTCCGACCACCTCCACCAGCTCCTCCGGCAGGACCCCCAAGGCATTCCTGGACCAGATTGGAGATGTAACCTCTCCAACGTGTCCTGGGTCAACCCGGGGGCCTCCTGCTGGCAGGACATGCCCGAAACACCTCCCCAGGGAGGCACCCAGGAGGCATCCTGACCAGATGCCCAAACCACCTCAAGTGACTCCTTTCGATCTGGAGGAGCAGCGGTTCTATTCCGAGTCCCTCCCGAATGTCCGAGCTCCTCACCCTATCTCTAAGGCTGAGCCCGGCCACCCTATGGAGGAAACTCATTTCGGCCGCTTGTATCCGCGATCTCGTTCTTTCGGTCATTACCCAAAGCTCATGACCATAGCTCACTTTTGCAGGCCGACTGGATAGCTCTGCCAACAGTATAATTTTAGCAATCACTGATCCTACTGTGAGCAGTTGTCGCTATTTGTCCAGTATAAGGAAACATTGGTTGAAGTGTTTGTGTGGTTAAACTTGTGTGGAACAGTTTATAGTAAAGTTTTTTAATTACATTTAGATTTTTATTAAATTTTATGCTGTTATCTTTTTATTTCTATTTATCTATTTTGTTTCATTGATCTGTTGTTTTATATATATATTTTATCTGGACCTAAGAGTCTGTCAATAAAGATTATCTATCATAGGTGAGGATTGGGATGTAGATCGACCGGTAAATTGAGAGCCTGGCTTTCTGGCTCAGCTCCCTCTTCACCACGACAGATCGGCTCAGCGTCCGCATCACTGCAGACGCTGAACCAATCCGCCTGTCGATCTCCTGATCCCTCCTACCCTCACTCGTGAACAAGACCCCGAGATACTTAAACTCCTCCACTTGAGGTAGGACCTCTCTCCCGACCCAGAGTTGGCAAGCCACCCTTTTCCGGTCAAGAACCATGGTCTCAGATTTGGAGGTGCTGATCCTCATCCCAGCTGCTTCACACTTGGCCGTGAACCTACCCAGCAAGAGCTGAAGGTCAGAGCTGGATGAAGCTAGGAGGACCACATCATCCGCAAAAAGCTGAGATGAGATTCTCCTGCCATCAAACTTGACACACTCCACACCACTGCTGTGCCTAGAAATTCTGTCCATAAAGGTAATGAACAGAACCCGTGACAAAGGGCAGCCCTGGTGAAGTCCAACCCTCACCGGGAACAGGTCTGACTTACTACCGGCTATGTGAACCAAACTCACGCTCCTCTGGTAAAGGGACTGAATGGCCCTTAACAGAAAGCCACTCACCCCATACTCCTGGAGCGTTCCCCACAGGGTGCCCCTGGGGACACGGTCATAAGCCTTCTCCAAATCCACAAAGCACATGTGGATTGGTTGGTTAAACTCCCATGTCCCCTCCATCACCCTTGCAAGGGTATAGAGCTGATCTACAGTTCCACGGCCAGGACGAAAACCACATTGCTCCTCCTCAATCTGAGATTCAACTATCGATCGGACCCTCCTTTCCAGTACCTTGGAGTAGACCTGTCCAGGGAGGCAGAGGAGTGTGATCCCTCTATAGTTGGAACACACCCTCAAGTCACCCTTCTTAAAAATGGGGACCACCACCCCGGTCTGCCACTCCACAGGAACTGCCCCCGATGGCCACGCAATGTTGCAGAGACGTGTCAACCATGACAGCCCTACAACATCCATAGCCTTGAGATACCCAGGACAAACCTCATCTGCCCCCGGGGCTCCACCTGTTGGGTATTTTTATAATTGTACCTTTTTGAGGCCTAAAAGCTGCCCATTTTGTGTTATTAACACTTCTTGAATCTCAGTGTTTGCCAACTGTGGCTGTTCATGAAAGGTTGAGCAGAGAAGCTCGTTTGCAGTCAAGGATGTTGATTCCAACCAAGCCTCTGTAAGGATGTTGATTCCAACCAAACCTCTGTACCTCTGTAACCTGAGAAGGCCCCACCTTCTCCATCCTTTGCTAAATAAAACCCCTGGCTAACTGAGAACACATGGGAGTTACGTGGGGAAGCCTCGGAGGAGGTTCCTCTGCGTTAACTCTCCATATTTTGGGGACTCAGGGTAAAATGTCTTCCTTGTTGTCATGAGTGTTTATTTCAGGTTCCAGGGTTATGGAGATTAAATATTACCCAACATTTTGGTGGAGAATGCGGGTAGGCAGAGCTGGTGAGCTGAAGGCTGGAGCAGAGTGGGGGCTGGGTTTCAGCCCAGCTCTCGCAATGACGATTCATGGACATTGCGAATAATAATAATCTTCTCTCTCTTTGTGTGTGTCGTCCTTTAAGGGAATATGGGATAAGTGAAAATGTACCTTTCACCACCGCTGTGTAGTTGTTTGACTACCTCAGCAACTTCTGCCCTCAAGATTGGACAGTCCATCCCCAGGTCTCCTAGCTCTGGCTCCTCCTCGGAATGCATGTAGGTGGGATTGAGGAGCTCCTCAAAGTATTCCTTCCACCGTCTGACTATAGCCCCAGTTGACGTCAGCAGCTCCCCATCCCCACTGTAAAACGTGTGAGCGGGTTGCTGCCTTCCTCTCCTGAGGCGCTGGACAGTTTGCCAGAACCTCTTTGGAGCCGATCGATAGTCTTTCTCCATGGCCTCACCAAACTCATCCCACGTACGAGATTTAGCCTCGGCAACTGCCACTGCTGCACCTCGCTTGGCTATCCGGTACCTGTTTGCTGCCTCCGGAGACCCACAGACCAGCCACACCCTGTAGGCCTCCTTCTTCAGCCTGACGGCTCCCCGAACCTCTGGTGTCCACCAGCGGGTATGGGGGTTGCCACCACGACTGGCACCGGTCACCTTACGACCACAGCTAGCAACAGCCTCCTCAACAATCGCAGAGTGGAACAAGGCCCACTCGGAGTCAATGTCCCCCACTGCTCTCGGGACGCAGTCAAAGCTCTGCCGGAGGTGGGAGTTGAAGACCGTCTTGACAGGTTCTTCTGCCAGGCATTCCCAGCAGACCTTCACTATGCGTTTGGTTCTTCCAGGTCTACGCGGCATCTTCCCCTGCCATCTGATCCAACTCACCACCAGGTGGTGATCAGTTGACAGCTCCGCTCCTCTCTTCACCCAGGTGTCCAAAACATACGGCCACAGTTCAGATGATACGACTACAAAGTCTATCATCGACCTGCGATTTTAGGCTGCCCTGGTACCAAGTGTACCAATGGGCATCCTTATGTTCGAACATGGTGTTCATTATGGCCCAACTGCGGCTTGCACAGAAGTCCAATAACGAAACACCACTCGAGTTCAGATCAGGCAGGCCGTTCCTCCCAATCACACCCCTCCAGGTCATGCTGCCATTGCCCATGTGAGCATTGAAGTCTCCCAGCAGGACAATGGAGTCCCCTGATGGAGCACTATCTAGCACTCATCCCAGGGACTCCAAAAAGGGTGGGTACTCTGAACTGATATTTGGCCCATAAGCACAAACAGCAGTCAGGACCCGTTCCCCGACCAGAAGGCGCAGGGAAGCTACCCTCTCATCCCCCGGGGTAAACCCCAACACACAGGCAGTGAGTCCTGGGGCTAGCAAAAAGCCAACCCCAGCCCTCCGCCTCTCACCCGGAGCAACTCCAGCAAAGGAGAGTGTCCAACCCCTCTCAAGGACTTGGGTTCCAGGGCCAATACTATGTGTCAAGGTGAGTCCGACTATATCTATCCGGTACCGCTCAACCTCTGCCACGAGCTCCTGCTCCTTCCCTGCCAGCGAGGTGATGTTCCATGTCCCAAGAACCAGTTTCCTTGTCCGGGGATCGGACCGCCAAGGTTCCCGCCTCGGTCTGCCACCCAATCCACACTGCACCAGACCCTTCATGTTCCTCCTGCGGGTGGGTGGTCCACAGTTGAAACATGAAGCCCATGTATCTGATTCGGGCTGTGCCCGGCCGGGCCTCATGGGCGAAAGCCCAGCCTCCAGGCGCTCACTCACGGGCCCCAACCCCAGGCGTGGCTCCAGGGTGGGACCCCGGTAACCCTCCGGGCTGGTTACTCCGACTCTTCCAGCGTACATCCATGAAAGATCCTCTGAACCATTCTTTGTCTCACCCTTCACCTAAGACCAATTTGTCATGGGAGACCCTACCAGGGGCACAAGTGCCCCAGACAACATAGCTCCTAGGATCATTAGGGTACTCAAGCTCCTCCACCACGATAAGGTGATGGTTCAAATGTTTGAGGCATAAAACAAATTAGAGTTGTAAGTTTAATGTATTGTTCATTCTTGCTTTGTTTAGCTCCATTTGTCTTTTTGTTGCCCCAGTGTTTTCATGATCCAGTTCCATTTTTCTGTCTAGAGGAAGTCACTCAGTAACTCATTGGAGAGCTGACTGACAGCCACCTCCGTTTGCTGTGATCCTTTCAGTATCCTGGCCGTCTGCTGGGAGCTGTAATTTGTAAAGATTTCCTTGACAACAGGCACACTTTCTGCACAAGGACAATGTTTACATGTCCCATGGTTCTCCGGTAGTCCATTGGACAACCTTGTAGAGTGGCATTCTTCAGTGTGATGAGATTGCCTGCCTGTTCCCTTCTTTACAGAGCCATGTTGGCATAGATATCCACAAAGTGTACTTCTACAGTGGGCTACATCCCGGCACAGTGACTTGCGAAAGTTGGGCTTGAAGGCCAAATAGACAACAGGGTTGTAAAGAGTAGAGGACTTGGCAAAGATAGCTGCCAAAGCAAAAGCCATGGGTGGTACTGAGTCTGAGTTACCAAACGCTGCCCACATGGAAACAATCGCATAAGGACTCCATGCTGTCAGGAAACCAATGCAAACAGCCACCGAAAGCTGAAAAGCAACACGACAATGATCAAAAAACATATGCAATATAAATATTCACTCATTTGCTGCCAGATACACTGTATAGGACAACTGTGCAGTGTGAGATTTTGCATTTACCTTAACAATAAGTGCATGTGCATTGGTGATCTTGTTCTGTGGAGACAAATGCTGCTGCACAGCCTGGCGAGAGCCCCGCACAGTCAGCAGGATGAATGTGTAGGACAGAAAGATGACGGTGCAGGGTACGATGTAACAAAAGAAGAAGAGGGAAATGATGTAGCTCATAGACACTGAATTTTGGCTGGGGGCATGCCAGTCGATGCAGCACGCTGTTCCGTAGGGCTCCGGCCCGTACTCCCCCCACCCTGACAATGGACCTACAGCAAACACTCCAGCATAGCACCAGATGCAAGCAACCAGAAGGCTGGCGTGGCAGTAGGAGAACTTGTTACCTGTAAAAGAGTGCATAAATAAAGGGAGAAAGGATTGAGCCAAAAAAGACATGAAGGAAGGGCCAGGAATAAAATAGCATTAGACTACTTACACATGTAGTAACAAGAAAGAGAGGATAAGACATTGTCTAATGATAAAAAAAAAAGTGTGTAGGTTTGGCAAGGAATAAAAAGGTCAAAGGTAAGTAAGTGGGACTGATTGCAATGTTGGATAAATGTATCAGATGTCCTACTGGACAGATTTAAAATGAAGTCTGACCCCTTCCTTCCACTGGATGTGAAGGTAAGGTTATTGCGGCATTTTAGCCACAAGCTCATTCCCAACCAGAGGCAATTCTGACGCCAAACTGGAGTAGAAACGTTCCACACAGCGGATCTCATGATGTCATAAAATCACGGGAGGAATGGAACACCACACGTGATTTCAGAAGTCCTCACAATAAAGAGCAAGGAGAAAGACAGCTGCATGTCTCCAAAGAGGGCTGTGATTTATTTTATGTTCTGTTTACTTTGATTTTGGGGGTTTTACAGGAAATGACAAACTGCACGTAACGTTTATTCCGAAAGTTTCCGGATGTTTTACACTGCCTTTGTCTTTGACTTCCTGTCTGGCTCGATCTGAACTGGGGAGTTTGCCGTGTTTTAGAAGCATAGTGCATAAAAATTAGACTTGAAACATAATACCAGTGTCCCTTCACTTCTGGGACATGTCCACAACGTCACACTTGGCTGCCGATGAAAAGGACCCTGTCCACTTCGACAGCGGCTAGTTGCAGCGTAATACATTTTGCGGCCGTTTCGCGCTGCTTTCACATTCATTGGAAAAAAGTGGTTAGAATATAATCATTGAATGGATCTCTGATTACAATTTAGAGTCAACCTATTTCAAAACAGCTGTCAGTTTCACAGATACTATGTTTGTAGCTACAAGTCATCCACAACACTCTCGCCCCTACACAACGACATTTGTTTAAAACTTTGCCAATAACTTTTGTTTCTTTGATCCACTCAATGGATTTTTGATTAAATCAACAAGCCTTAATCTACTGTTCAACACCTTTGGGGTCACTCTAACTCAAGATGGCTGCTCCATCAGATTGTGTGTGACAAACAACAAAAATAACAACTCAGTCAGTTTAGCAGATAATGATCACATTTTTGATGTGAAAGTAGCTGAGTCATTTAAATGATGGGCGATTGAGTGCTAAAAATTATACAAGATCTTGGCAATACACATGATGGTAATTTCAATATTTGCCCAAGAATGAAACTTAATGATTTCTCAATATATGATGATTGTTTATAGCAGTAGATGGAAGCCAGCAGGTCGTTCCTTCAAGTACAGCTACAGTGTTAATTCTTTCCTGCTGATGCTGAAATAGACAGGGGGCCAACAGTCGGGCTCTCTCCGCTAAGGGCAGTAGCTAAACAGAATGTAATTTAGCGATAGTGCATTTGAAAAAAAAAACACTTTAAAACAGCTCAGCTATTTCTTAAAAACCCATAAAATCCTCAAACCTGCGCAGAAAAACATGCATGAAATTCAGCTACTGCTGTTTTGTCAAGTATAGATATTTTTTCCACACACAATGATTTTCAAATGAAGTACAAAAAACAGAAAATGTTAAATATAGGTTTTATCATATTTCTTTTGTATTTGGTTATTAAAAAGCCCTGTGTGTGATCAAAACAACTCCAATAATCTCGGGGCAGCAGTGGCTCAACAAGTTGAGCGGGTTGTCCAGTAATCAGAAGGTTGCAGGTTCAATCCCGGCTCCGGACAGAGAATTCCTTGGTAATTCCAAGACACTTAACCCACCTTGCCTGCTGGTGGTGGTCGGAGGGACCGGTGGTGCCTGTGCTCGGCAGCCTTGCCTCTGTCAGTGCGCCCCAGGGCAGCTGTGGCTACACCATAGCTCATCCCCTCATCCATACAAGTGTGGGTCATTTATCATTTATCAATAAGAATTCAGTGAGCATCATTTAAAATAGTTCAAAGCACATTTTTGCTTTGGTAATATTTATTCTACTTGCTTAATTTTCACACTAAAGGTCCTTTGGGTCAAGGAACTTGCACAAATATGGAAATAGCACTCTGAAAATGTTAATGCATATGCATGCGGTGGACACTTTAATCCAAAGCTGGTAGGGACAGGAAGTTGGCTCCCTGGTTTAATTCTCATTTACGAGCCTTAAAACAAAACTCTAGGAAATTGGAGAGAACATGGCGCTCTACGCACCATGAGGAGGCCTACCTATCTTGGAAAAATAGTCTTGTGCTTTGTAAAAATAAGCTTCGACAAACTAGAACTGCTTATTTTTCAGCATTAATTGAGGAGAATAAGCATAATCCTAAATTTCTTTTCAGTACAGTTGCTAAACTTACACAGAATCATAGCTCTGAGCCATCTATTCCCTTAGCCCTCAGCAGCAATGACTTCATGGGATTTTTTACAAGTAAAATTAATTCTATTAGAAACAAAATATTTAGCATTCTCCCTAATGTGATTTCTTCTTCCTCAGTGAGTGAGGCAGCATCAGAGGTGACTTTAGAACCTCATCTGTGCTTGAACCGTTTTGATCCAGTTGAGCTTTCAGAGTTATCAAAAATATTAGCTTCATCTAAACCTTCCACTTGCATTCTGGATCCAATCCCAACCAAATTATTTAAAGAAGCATTTCCTTTGGTTACTGCCCCCATTCTAAATATAATCAATCTATCCTTAGTAAATGGGTATGCACCACAAGATTTTAATGTTGCTGTAATCAAACCTTCACTTAAGAAGCCTTCTCTGGATCCAGATGACCCAATGAATTATAGACCAATATCTAACCTTCCATTTTTATCCAAAGTCCTGGAGAAAATAGTGGCCATCCAAGTATGTGAGCATTTAAACACTAATGCTCTGTTTGAGGAATTTCAGTCTGGTTTTAGAGAGTATCACAGCACTGAAACTGCATTAGTGAGAGTTACAAATGATATTCTTATGGCCTCAGATAAGAATCTTGTGTCTGTTCTAGTCTTGTTAGATCTCAGTGCTGCCTTTGACACAGTTGATCACAATGTTCTTTTAGAAAGACTTGAATATGTTGTAGGGATCAAAGGAGCAGCGTTAGGCTGGTTTAAATCCTACCTGTCTGACAGATTTCATTTTGTAAATGTACATGATAAATCTTCTTCATACTCCAGGGTTACTTGCGGAGTACCACAGGGTTCAGTGCTTTGACCAATTCTTTTTGCTATATATATGCTCCCAATTGGTAAAATCATTAGACAGCATGGGATAAACTTCCACTGTTATGCTGACGATACTCAGCTATATTTATCTATTAACCCTGATGAACCTAATCGGTTGGGTACATTACAGGCTTGTCTTGAGGACATAAAACATTGAATGACTCTAAACTTTTTGCTTTTAAATCAAGACAAGACGGAAGTTCTCATCTTTGGACCAGAAATCCAGAAAAGGAAATTGCTTAGCCAATCGTCTGACTTGAATGGCATTACATTAATCTCCGAGAGCAAAGTAAGGAACCTTGGTGTTATCTTTGACCAGGACATGTCATTCAAATCCCAGGTTTCACAAGTTTGTAGGATTTCCTTTTTTCCACCTTCGGAATATTGCTAAGATTAGAAGCATACTTTCCAGGAGTGATGCTGAAAAACTAGTTCATGCATTTATTACATCAAGACTGGATTACTGTAATTCATTACTCTTAGAAAGTTCACAGAATGTAGTTAAAAGTCTTCAGCTTGTCCAAAATGCTGCAGCTAGAGTTCTGATGAGAATTTAAAAAAGCGATCATATCTCTCCTGTCTTGGCTTCCCTACATTGGCTACCTGTTAAATTCAGAATAGATTTTAAGATCCTTCTTCTCACATACAAAGCTCTTAATAATCAAGCTCCATCATACATCAGTGATCTGATTGTTCCATACGTTCTAACCGAGCACTTCGCTCTCAGACTGCAGGTCTACTGGTGGTTCCCAGAATATCTAAAATTAGGATGGGAGGCAGATCTTTTAGTTATCAGGCTTCTCTCTTGTGGAATCAGCTCCCAGTCTTAGTCCGTGAGGCAGACACTTTGTCTACATTTAAGAATAGGCTTAAAACATTTTTATTTGATAGGGCCTATGGTTAAAATCTGATGTTAGCCTAAATCAGGACAAGTGGGGGAGTACAGGGAGGTGCAGTGTACAGTCGGTAAAGACGGCTCTCCCTTGCCCTTCCTCCAACATGCCTCCATCTAAACAGGATAGATTATCCAGAGTTATCTGCTATAGGCTTAGACTGCTGGAGGATACACTGACCACTTTCCACACTCTACTGCTTTCTTTTACTATCTGCTCTTTAACTGTATTACTTTCTGCAATTTCAGCTGTTAACTTTATTTTTTCTCTAAGTGTTTTTCTCCCCAGAAGAAGCTACAACGATGTTCTGCTGAGCTGTGGTGGCCTCATGGAGGGGGCCATCATCTAGCACACTGCTGCTAACCATTTAAACATTCTCCTTCTCCTGATAATAACTTTATGCTTTCGTTGACGTTGGACGTGTTACTGCTAGTTTACCCGTTTAATTAGAGATCCACTAGGATAAATATAATAAAGTTGATCTCACCAAACAGAACATTCACTAAGACATCACAATAGTACTATAGACACATTATTGTGTGTGTGTGTGTGTGTGTGTGTGTGTGTGTGTGTGTGTGTGTGTGTGTGTGTGTCTGTGTGTGTGTGTGTGTGTGTGTGTGTGTGTGTGTGTGTGTGTGTGTGTGTGTGTGTGTGTGTGTGTGTCTGCTCTGTCTTCTCGATCCCCAGTTAGTCGTGGAGGATGACTGCTTATACTGAGCCAGGATTCTCTGGAGGTTTCTTCCTCTTAAAAGGGAGTTTTCCTCTCCACTGTCGCTGCATGCTTGCTTAGTATGAGGATTGCTGTATAGTCACTGACACTAGTCAGTGACTTGATGCAATTTGCTGGGTTCCTTATATAGGAAACATTA